AAATGCGGAGATCCGCAACAACGCAAATAACTTGAATACGGAGATCCGCACTTGATTGAGTATCGCAGACCGCAAATAACTTGAATACGGAGATCGGCAACAACGCAAATAACTTGAATACGAAGATCCGCAACAACGCAAATAACTTGAATACGGAGATCCGCACTTGATTGAGTATTGAAGCGTCGGACGCCGGTCCCTTGAGTATCCGCAAACGCAACGGCCATTTGCTTGAGTATCCGCAAACGCAACGGCCATTTGCTTGAGTATCCGCAAACGCAACAGCCGTTTGCTTGAGTATCGAAGCGTCGCAGGCCAGCTCCTTGAGTGTCCGCAAACGCGAATCGCTTGAGTATCGAAGCGTCCGCACGCCGGTCCCGTAAGTATGAGACAGTTAATCGCCGTTTCCCTTGAGTATGGAAGCGTCCGCACGCCAGTCCCTTGAGTTTGAATGATCGCTTGCGGAAGAGTATGAATGAACGCTTGCGGATGAGCGCTTTCGTTGTTTTGCTTGCGGATGCGGCGATTTGATGTGTTTGCTCGTATTTTCGGTGGTGGAGGTGCAGCATTGGATGGAGGTGCCTCAGTACTGATTCGCTGTATAAAAATACGTACATATGGGGTTGTACTACTGTACTGTAATGTACAAGGGGTACATGCGCATGGCAGGCAAGCCAGTCGGCCCTGGAGGTTCGGAATTGCCTTTATCTTGCCAGTCCTGGAATTGTGCTTAGTAGCTCTACTCGTTTCCATTCGAACAAGAAGCAGCTGTGCTGAGTCCCCGTACTATTTTCGAACTTTTTATTTATTTAGGTCAGTGAAAAAGACCGACCATAATTACAAACGCACAAGTTCCTGTACAGGCAGAGATTTGCTGAGTCCCGAGTTCCCGTCTTATTTTTGAACTAGAAGTATTAATTTTGGTAGATGAAAGAAAAATACTGTACGAGTTACTTAAGAGTAAAATGCGTCTCCGAATGTAACTCGTAAGTAATGTATATATTTTGGTGAATTCACAGCAGGAGCAAGCACAGGAGCAAGCACAGGAGCAAGCTGCTTGCTGTTATACAGTCCATCTTTCGCCATGTGCAACTGCAGTTTGCGCATTCTGTTGGAACGAAGAATGGAAAACGAGTTTCCAAGCGTTGCACGCTAGTAAACACCAACGTGATGAACCCCCACGGTACGTAAATGAGAACCAACGATTCCAATCCATCACCCAAAACATCGTTCTACACACGATGCTGCCAAGGATTCTTTTCCAGGCGTAAGATTGGCTTGCTCCTTCCTGTTTTCTTTCCCGAACATACTTGTATTGTACTAGGAAACACGGTACATGGGGAAACCTCCGGATCGGTGCCGGTGTCGGACTAGCTTTCTTCCCGTTTGCCAMAAACAAGAACAAGAATGCTAGCTACCTATTCGTTCATAGCTTTGGAATATATGCATATAATATATAGTTATATCAACGGGGGCTTGTCGTTGGCCGATCCTTCGACAAGTGTGGCGCGTTTTGCTTTGGGTTCCATCGGCGTTGTGTTGCGTGGCATTTCGTTTCGTTTCGTTTGGTTTGGTTTGGTTTGGTTCCGGGCTCTCCCTCCTCTAGAGCTTGATGCTGAAAAAGGACCGGAAMGCTCGTTCCACCCCCGTCAGCCCCTTGTCCAGCCAGGTCTTGTCGGCCTCCGGATCGGGGATTTCCTCGGGCTTGGTCCCCGGCCGGATGCTGTGGGCGCTGTCGCCACCGTCGGTTTCGGTTTCGCTGTCGGTTTCGTCTTCGCTTTCGTCTTTGCTTTTGCTTTCCTCGCCTCGGCCGCCATCGAGCGCGGCGGCGGCCCGGGCCCGGGCCGAAGCCACCTTCTCCCTGGCGTCCCCGACGGCCTCCCGGGCCAGGGTGGCCCTGGCCTCGGCGGCCCGGACCGTCTCGGTGGCCCTGGCCTCCACGGCCCGGACCGTCTCTTTGGCCCTCGCCTCGGCGGCCCCGCGGGTCTTCCTGGCCAGGGCCACCAGGGCCGCGAGCTTCCGGGGGAGGTCGGCCAGGGCCTCCAGGAGGTCCCCGAGGGCGTCCTTTTCGGCGTCCCCCAGCACGCGGGCCGCCCCGGCCGAGACAACCACGACCCCAGCCACCGCCAGCAGGACCTTCTTCCCGGGGAAAGCCTGCTTGCAGAGGGAGGGATCGGCGTAGAAGCTCGGGGGCATCCCCTCGGCGGGCCGGGCCAGCYTGTTGCGGAGGACCTCCCTGGCGACGGAAGGCTTCATGAGGGAGGCCTCGGCCTCCGTGTAGCGRAGTTCCGAGACCAGGGCCTTTTGCTCGGGGGCGCCGAGGGGGGTTTCGTCGTCGCCGCCGCCGGTGGTCGTCGTGGTGGACGACCCCTCCGGCGGCGTCGGTGCTTCCGGTTCTTTCGGAGCCGCCGGAGAGACGGGCGCCCGCACCGGAACGGCGACGCTTTCTTCGGTGTTTCCGGCYTCCTCCGTTGCCTCGTCGTCGGCGGCCTCTTGCTGCCCGTCGGTGTAGATTCCCTCGTCGTCGGCGAGCTCGCCGTCCGTGGTGTGAAAGGCGCGGACGTCGTCCGAGGGGATCTCGTCCGTCGGGTAGGCGATGGGTGCCTCCTCCTCCTCGTCGTCCTCG